AAAAGTCTAGGTTTTAAAAGTCTAGCCACTTACAAAGAGGCTGTCTTTCTGGACTCTTTGTCAGTGTTCCTGAGCACCGAGTATTGACAGACAGATGGTTATCAGAGAAATCTGTTTACTACTGATATTGATGGAGGGAGGTATATAGGCTTTAAGATATTTGCCTTTAGGATATTGTGAAATGATAAAGGCAGATATGAGACCCAGAGTTCACTGAAGGGAAAAATAAGAGAACAGTACAATCTATTCTAATAAAAGATGAGAAAGATACTGCATAGTTTGTATCAACTTTACTAGGATTAAAAAGAAAAATGATTTTCTTCATCACTCCTTAATGTACAGAGCTGCTCAATACTGTCAACTATAGCTTTCACAGAGAGTAACTTATGAAGACAGAGCCCTGAGAATGCTCAGAGATGCCTGGCCATGCTGGAATGCACGTGGCCATCAGAGCCTGCAACTAATCCCTAGCCGCTGAAGGTCAGCTACTTGGAGAATTGTTTGGACACCTTGGCATCTTCTTTGCCTCACATCCCTCTAAAATGTGGCTTCATCCTCAAACTAATGTGAATAGGAATGAAGAAAGAAGTACTCCTCCCCAGATTAAAAAAAAAAAAAAAAAGAACTGTGGACCACTTTATTTTTATATACTAAATTGCTCCAGCCTCTCTTTTTTTTTTTTTTTTTTAAGGTTGGATTGTTGTTTTTAGACAAATATTCTAGTAATATTAGAGTTTGATTAAGAAGGAATTCATGAATTGGGTAATATGAGACAGAAGACAGTCACAATGACAAAAGGTCAGGGTTACCTAGTAGGAAAATGAGAAAGGAAGATATATTATCCTCTACCGAGGATATAACTCGGTAGAATGCTTGTCCAGAATGTAGAGCCACAGGTTTAATTTTCAGCTCAGCAAAAATAATAAACGAGACAAAAAAAATGTATCTAGTTGTGAAGTCCCCAGTTAGATAATCACTCTAGTTGGCTACTTATATTGGCTGAGGTTTTAATATTTATCTAAAATAAGCCTTTTTTTCCAATCATGAGCAGGGGAGAATTTGTTTATATTTTTAGTTTAAGTTAGAGCCTACACCTTTTGTGGTGAGAGGGCTTGAATTCAGAGCCAGCAAGCTCCATTCCCAGCCATGAGGCTACTTTTAACATGCTGTTACTTGGTTTAAGACATTTGGTTCTTAGCTCCCAGCTAACCTTGCTCTTACAGAACATGTATTTTATTTCTGTATCATCATAACATGATACTTTACCTTGTAGTCAGTTGCTGCTCAAAGTTCATTGGATCAAAACTCAGTTACCCATTATCACACCATTTTAAGTTCTTGCAACTCTAAGTGTCATTGGTAGGGAGTATCATAGTGTCATATAAAAGGGGAGGTTCTGGTATTGCTTACAAAATAGATCTTGTAGCAGTGGGAACAGACTTAAGTCAACAGCCAGGATGTCTGCATCAAAAGCAATGGGTCATTTTCACTATTAGTAAGTTAAAATTAAAACCTCAAATGCAAAGGTTATGAACTGGCAAAGTGTCACTACTTAAAAAAAAAAAAAAAAAAAAAAACAGTACAAGTGTGGCTTTGCAGGTAAGCTGAAGAAACTTCCTGAAGTAAGCAGTATCAGATACTTTTTGCCCAGTTTTCGTTTCAGGATCATACTTACCTTTTTCTTCAGAACTCAAAGAGCATCAATACACAGGATATAAATGCAGTATAATCTTTCATCCAAGTTTCTTCACACATTAAAATGAGTGGATTGGTAGTTCTCATGTCACGGGAATCTGAGTGACTTGTTTGTAACATGGCCTCCTGTCTCCAGATCACATTAGAGATGCCACACTTTATTTCTTTCAAAATTGGGGATGCGGCTTTGTGGTGTCAAAAGCCTACACAAGGCCGTTTCTGGGTCGGGATGTAAAACTCTCACCCTTTCCTCCAGCACCATGGCTGCCTGTATGCCCCAGTGCTCCCTGCCATAATGGTAACAATTAACCCTTTGAACTGTAAGCAAGGCCCCAATTAAGCTGCCTTGGGCATGATGTTTCATCACAGCAATAGAGACCCTGAGACAATTACTGTGTTGTAGTAATAAAAGACAAATATCCTTGTATGGTATCTTTTGAACTCAATCCTCATGTGAATAGATGAGCTGGGGTGTCTGGATAAAGGAGCTCACCTATTCTGAAGAAATAAGGGGAGCAAGGATTCGAGAGGATAGGTGGGACTGGAAGGAGGGAGGGACCTATGACTGAGATGTGAATTGAATTAATAATAATTAAGGCAAATCAGCAGCATTTATGTAGGACTGAGTGATAAAACAGGATCAGATGAATGGGGAGGAGGTCCCCCCATCAGTGGACTTGGAAAGGGGCAGGGTGGAGATGAGGGAGGGAGGGTGGGAGTGGGAGGGAATGAGGGAGCGGGATACAGCTGGGATACAGAGTTAATAAAATATAACTGATAAGAAAAAAATAAAATTAAAAAAAAAGAAAAAAAAGGTGGGGGTGGGGGTGGAGAGATAGCATAGAGGATAAGAGCACTGGGTGGTCTTCCAAAGGTCTGGAGTTCAATTCCCAGCAACCACATGAGGGCTCACAACCGTCTGTAATGAGATCTGGTGCCCTCTTCTGGCCTACAGGCCTACAGGCACGAATAACACTGTAGAGAATGTAAATACATAAAAAAAAAAAAAAAAAAAAAGCAAAGAACACAAGAAGTACAGGCACTCTCCTGTACTTTCATGGTTCTGAAAACTTATAGTCTCATATTTTCTGAAAACTTGGAGATGGGGGGTCATCTCACTATGTTGTCCTGGCAGGCTCAAACACCTGAGCTGCAGTGACCCTCTGGACTTGTCTCCTAAGTGTTGGAATAAAGGTATGCACCTCTAAGATCAGGCTGATTTCTAAACTAGATGTGAACTTACCCAATAGTCACTATGTTAATACTTTGAAAGCTATTGGTTGGAAGTTATGTTTTTAAATTAATTGTGACAAACAGTAGTCAAATAATTTGAGTTTAGGAAAATCTTTATCTCACAACAACAAAACCCTCAAAATCAGCTAGAAATTGAACAATTTCAGATTTGTATAGATTTGTGTGTGTATCTGAGTCTGTCTGTCAGGTGAGCAGGCCTGCACACACGTGGAGATCACAAGGGGACATTGTGGGAGAGTCCTACGCCACCGCCCTCCACATGTTCCTTTGGAGGCTGGGTCTTCCTGAGCTTGTGACTTGTGTTTTCCTGGCTTGGCTGAAACCCAGCGGGCAGCGGTCAGTGCTCTTCCACACCCCTCAGGACTGCAATTACAGGCTTGTGCTGGGCTCTCACTCCAGTCCTCACGGCCGCACAGCAAGCACTCTTAAACACTGAGCTATCTATCTAAGCCCCAGGTTCAGAGATCTGAAAGTTCGCATTCCATGAACATTTTTACTGAAAAAGATCATGTGACTTTATTTTTTTTAAATCAACTTTAGACTGTTAATGTCCCATTGATCGCTCAATTAAGTTTAGAGAGTAAAAAAAAGTGTAAGGCAAAAGCTCATTTTGTTTTGCTGGGAGAAACATACTTTTACATTTAGGGTCAGGATTCTTTTTGCATTTGATCTCTTCAGGGTGACTTTTTAAAAATAATAAATAATGTGTTGCATTCCTGGTACTTGGGCTTATGAAATAAAGATACATTTCCCAAGGTTGTGATGGCTAAGTGGTTATAGCCCTGGACTCAAAAGACAAATCTGACTTCATTATGACATCACCATAAAATATAATGCACTGTACAAATTTCTGAAAACTTCCCTTTCGAAACTAAGCATTAGATGTAAAAGCAAAAACAAAACAACAACAGTCAGAAAGTAAAAAAATCATACTTTTAACTGTCATCTTGAAAGTTATTTGTGAAGTATATATTTAAGCTTAAATTTGCTTGATCATGGTGTATCAAAACACTTCTTTTGATTATTAAAACTGTCTGCAGAAGTTGACATTCTGATCCTCATTAAATCAAGGCAGACATGACTTGTCGCTTGCTGGGGTTCTACACAATGTGCTATTTTGAAAACTAAAATTTACATCCTAAAAAATAATCTGAAAACTTGGATCAAGGGAATTGATGTTTACTAGAATAAAAAGCCTCACCAATTTGTTATTACTTTCTCACTTTAGAAACTGTCAAGCTAAACAAATAAGCAATCCTCACAAAATACAAAAACAGATTAAAAAAACAAAACAAAAACTATCTAATTGTTTCATGATTCTATCAACGTATTTCAGGGCACATATCTAAGCTCAGATGCATTCTACAGTCTTACATTTTACAACTGTGTTTAAATAAGTCTCTATGTTGAGAAAAGGTATTTGAATAAATGTTGGCCTATACAAAAATTTAAAATTGAATTCAGTTAAAAAAACATTTTAGGCTCAAATACAACTTTTTCCTTAATGATCTGACAACTGATTTAACAGCATGACTGGAACACTGTTACTAAGTGTGAATCCATTTGATAGGGAGCAAGGAGTGGAATACGAGCTGGATATTAAAGAAGATCTGATGGAGGCTGGCATAAACAAATACAGAATTTTGTATGAAGAAGTATACATGAGCTATGCATGAGGGAAGGGTGATAGCATGTTCCCAAGGCATGGGCACAAAGGCCTCTGAGCATTGCTGGGAGACTCACACAGGTGAGGGGTATGAGGCACAGGTTGTAAAGTTAGACTATGATCAGATAATTAGGGGTTTCAACACCAGAGGAAGGACATAGGCTATTTTTTTTTCCTGTAAAAAAAATAAGGGGATTGCAGCAACAGAGAGTCCACACATGGAATTACAGATATTGCCTGGTAGAATGGATAGAACCTGAGGACAAAAGGTAAGTTCAGGTGGACCAAAGGAAGAGATGTCAAAGATAAGGCTCATTCTACGATTCTCTAGAGTGGAGGGGACTAAAGAATCTATACTTTCAAAATTTTAAGAGCATAATCCAAATACTTTGTTGATACAAATTTTATTTTTCATGCTAAAATGTTTTTACAAATTTTATTGTGTCATACACAAGTATAAGAGCAACAATTACAAGTGAATTTAAAAAATAGCATTGGGGGCACTTCTATTCTCTTGTTCCTAACACAACTGTTTCCCTACATGAACAGCAATCATAATTGTAAGTCAGAACTGTACAAATAGTAAATTTAATAGATGCTACGTAATGGAGGCCACTAAAGAGCAAGTACACAGAACATATTTTACATTCTCTATTCCATAATTCAAATAAACTGTCAAGAGTTAAAGTTTAGTAATACTATCATTCATGCAATCACTGAACATCCCAAATCATTTTTCAATCCTTTTAAGTTTAGTTCTAAGGGAAATTATAGGATAAAGCACACAGACATGACTGGCTAATACTCTGCGTTTGAAGCCAGTCTCTGTGTAATGAAGTTCTGCATCTGGGACAGCCCGGCATTGTTCCTTGTCATCCTGAATAATTACAAGATGAACAACATGAACAGGACTTAAGAATCACCCAATACAACTGATGCAGTATCACCCAGAGTTCTAGTTTCTAAAATTCTGGGTGAAGTGGGACGATATGAACTGTCATCATCTACACGGTAGTCATATTACCTTTGGCCATTGGCACAATACTCTTGTGTTTCACAGCATACAAAATATCCTGAAAATGTTTCTCTTAAACACATTTCAATTAATGTAATTAAGCAGAAGGCAACAGCTTCCTTCTAGAAGTGTTAGACTTCACTATGAATAGCTCCTCATAATCTTGCTGAGTTAACTATGCGCTGCTTTGAGGGTTGGACACCAAATACACTATGTTTTCAACTTGGAGTCTGTGTTAAACGTATAAAAAGAACTACAAAGGGAACTGCAGTAACAGCCTAATACATGGAAATTCCACCTTTGTTCCTATAGTAATCCCATCACTGCTGGATTTAGTCAGAGAAAAGATAAGCTTCAAAACTCTTCTGGGAAACCTGTTCCTCAGCAAGCTAAAAACAAACAATGTAACAGCAATCAGAAACTGTGTTTGGGGACTGTGATGTAAACAGGTCTGAGATACAGAAGTTAAATTTTTGACCCAGTATATCACAAATACATTTGTTTTAATCTAAAAATATAACTTTGAAGAAATAATGATTTTTGAATCCAACTATGTACTAATTCTCTTTAAAAAGTTAAAGATAAATATCTTATTTAAAATCTCACTTCACAAAAACTGAGAGGAATAAAGCCGACCACTCTGAGATGTATTTTGAGCCAAGCAACTGTTGCATTTTAGTTACCTCAAACTCTTACCTGGTTTACCTTTTGATTATAAACCAATGACTTCATGTTTAGCACATATTTCTTATCAAAGAAGACAATATATTTGAAAATCTGAAAGTGTTCATGTATTTTAAATATATAAATGAAACTAGCTGCTAAAATAAGAAGCATTGTGTGAAGACATGTTAATTTAAGTACTTTAAAAAACATAGAATGGAGAAGAATCAGCAACACACCTGCCAACATAATATTCAAAATTATCCCACAATAGGCTAAGAACCTAAAGGATCCAGTAGGGCCAAGTTTCAAGTCTCCTAATATGTTACTTATACTGTGTTTTCATATTATCTCCTGCCTCTTCATACTTTTTCCCCAAGTACAAACTGCATGACCGGAAGTAAGTTATATTTTATTCTTGTAAAATTAATAAGAGAAAATAACTACTTCATTAATCCTGAGTAAACAGGAGTCAGAAGGAAACTAAGCACAAAATAAAGTCATGGTCTATTAACTTGCCTCAGGCAAGATGGCCATTCAAACAACTTCAAGAAATTTATCTCATGTCTATTATTTTCACACTGTACTTTGAATCTCAAATGTAATAATCTTATTTATAAATAATTCACACTGAAAATGTCAGTTTTATTTTTATTGGAATGATTAAGAAGTATTAAACATTAACACAAAAAAATTAAGCTCCAGATTTGGTTCTAAAGTTTTCTACATTGTTCAATTTACTTTTAGAGATATTTCAGTTAGCAATTCAAAGTTACCAAAATCCTAGCCCATCACTATTTACTTCAAGAACTTTTTTTTACATGCATTTGTGTGTGTGCATGCGCATTTATACATGGTATCATGTGACATCAGAGAACAATGTCAGTTCTCTCTACTGTCGCCTGCAGAGACTGAACTCAGGTGATCAGGCTTGGTGGCAATCATCCTTATCCACTCAACCATCTTGCTGGCCACTTCAAGTTTTTACTCATAATAACCTGAGTTACCATAGCTTTATGACAAATATTTTAAATGATAGGGCACAGGTATGAGAGACAGAGAACCTAGTTCTGGCCGCAAATAAAGTATTTACCAATATGTAATTTAAAAACAAATCTCAGTATCCTGCTGAAAAATCACATGAGACAAGCAGACAGAAGCGCAAGAGGCTGGGGCAGTGCTGGATTAGGGGGGAACAGACCTTCCACCTGAGAGCATGGAGCAGCACTGTCTTCACCACGTCCCTGGCTAAGCTCTAAAGGTACTCATGAAAACATATTAATATCTACCGGACAAAAGCCGGACTCAGTACTGACCTAAGAAAACCTAAACACCTCATTCATGCTCCCAAATGTTTTTATGCCTATCGTTCAGCCTCTGCAAAATATAGGTTTTGTTGTTGTGTCTCTTTGTTGTGGGTTTAAATTGTCAGCCTGTTACCACCCTGGCTTACTCAGGAGTTACTGGATTCTCCTTGAAGAGTCACAGCCATCTGCATCTCTCTTCCATTTATCTTTTACTTAGGTTTAAATGACAGACTTTTTTGTTCATTTTGAAATGACTCTAATATCATTAAAATTAGGCATTAAAACCAGATGTCTAGGTAGGATAGAATTTTCAATTCTAAGAGTTAAGAAAAGCTTTTAGGAACTGATTCACCGGGCGCAAAGGTTGCTGCCCTGTCTTGCCTCTTCCTCTTGCACATGTACTCTGGACGAAAGGGAAAACCAAACTTCTTCCCTTACCGTGTGCTATCCCAGACAAAAATAGACACAGAGGACCACAGAAAGTGATTACTATAGGAGACATAGGTAAAGGTTGATTCTGAAGAAAGGAATCATGATCCTGTGTACCATATGATGAAGGGTGAAGCCAGGATCAGGAAAAAGCACAACTGAAATCAGTTTTTCACATTTTGCTTTTTCACCTAACTCACTAAAATATAAAAGTTAACTGAGTAAACATGAAACTACATAGTTACTTGTCAGGTAGAGACACAGGTTGAGAAGCCAAACTAAAGATACCAGTAAACTTTATGTAATAAGATTAGACATTTCTAGACCAAAACCAAACAAACAAACAAACAAAAATAACCCAAACAACAAAACCAAAAAGAACCAAAAAACAAAACCTAAAAAACAAAACAAACCAAAACCAACAACAGATGACTCACTTACAGTCATGTCGAAAAGTGTATACATAATGAGATTGATTTGAAAAATGTAAGCAGACACATGTTCAGTTTCAAGGAGAATGGACGTAATCAGCAAGCACAGAGAAAGACAAATCCAAACAAAGACCAGTTTGACCAGAAGTGAATGACTGCAAAGGACGATCTGGGAAGCTGATGTGGTGTGTTAATGCCCAAGGAATGCTAATAATTAAAAAAAAAAAAAAAAAAAAAAGATTTTTAAAATGCTCACTCGCATCAGGAGTGCCTGCATTGTCATCTTCTGTGGCCTGGTAAGGCTGCTCCCCCCTCAGGGGGAGGTGATCAACGAGCAGGCCAATCAGATTATGTCAGCGGCAGTCCCTCTTCCCATTACTATGTAACCCACTTGGACACTGAACTGCCATGGGCTACATCTGTGCAGGGGTTCTAGGTTATCTCCATGCCTGGTACTTGGTTGTAGTATGAGTCTCTGGGAAGACCCCTGTGTTCAGATTTTCTGGTTCTGTTGCTCTCCTCATGGGGTTCAGGAGGCCCTCCCCTATTAGTGGACTTGGGGAGGGGCATGCGTGAAGAAGGGGGAGAGAGGGTGGGACTGAGAGGGGAGAAGGGAGGGGCTTATGGGGGGATACAAAATGAATAAAGTGTAATTAAAAAAAAATGCTCACTCACATAGGGAATATGGGGTGAATGCTAAGGAAAGATAAGAGAATGCTTAAAAGGGAGAATTAAGCTGTTAGAATTTACATTTTATACTTGAGAACAGACTAGCAAATAGACTACACATCACATCAGAACTAAGGTAGGCACTTGGGTATGGGAAATGGAAAACCCAACTTCTGACATAAGGAAAGAAAAAGAAGTTATGTGGGATCATACTTAGCTTCTATAGTTAGTGTTATATATTTTAAATTCTAAGGAGAATTTGCTGAGTGAAAGGAAAAAACACTTTATGGAAAATGACACTGAAAATATAAACTAACAAGGTGAACACATCCATCATACTTGAAAACAATGTTCGATGAAATTAAAATAAAAAAGAAATACTTAATGTTACTGCGAGGCACGTCAAATCAGTATGATGCAGTGGTTAAAGTTTTAAAGAAATCTATTTTATCTTGATGTTGCTGTCGGTGTTCAATGAAAGGATTTTTTGAATATATGAATTACTTTCCTTCCCTGAAACATTCCTAAAATCGATGGTACATAATCACTGTGAATGTGTCATAATTCTTAACATGAAAAGCAGAGCATCGATAGGTTTCACTGTGTATCTATTTGATGCCAGATCCCACATGTAGCTGGAACCTACTGATACTTTACAGGTTTCTAAACTTAATTTTCCTAATTTATTTTTTTATAAACAACTTACTTTACTTCTTAATCTGTATGACTTCATTTGACATTTATCAGAGCTATACAAAAGCCATGCAATTTATTTACAATACTGTACATTAAAGAGTATGTTTGAAGATACACAAAAAGTTCACAAAGCTATACATGAAACACTTACTGAGAGGTTCTTACAAAGTGTAAAAACAAAATTTGGCAGACTGTTATGGTTGGTCAATATTATGCAACCATTAGCTAGAAATAACACAAAAACATGCAAATGATTAAAATTTCAACAAATTAAAAGCTAAAAATATTTAGCTAATAGCTAAGTTGTCATATAGTTGAAAGACTACCATGTAAGAATGAGAATTTATAAAACAGGTCAGTTTTTAAAAGTACTCCATGAATAACAGGCTTTCAATAATTTCATATAAAAATCTTCATAAGCTATTTTTCAAATTATGTTCATGACTGAACTATATAATCAGAAGAGATATAGATTAAGTCTATCACTTTTATATAATTATTTATTGTATTTAGAGGAAGTCTTAATTTTTCACCTTGGGAACAAAGGTCAGAAGAAAGCCAATCAGTTAACTTACGATCGAGTAAAAGCTCTTGGTAGGAGCAAACCAGCAACAAGGAATGAGAGTTCAATAACTGTAAGGACCACACTCTGTTAGCTGAACCCTCCATGTCTGAGTGTGAACTTTAGTGCTCAATTAAAGATGTCCTTCTAGCCAGTACCTCCTCACTGACAGTTCCGAAGATGTCTCTGGTGTGTCACTGGCTCAAATTACATCTCCTTTAGAGTTTACTCTTGTGGCTGGAGGACGTTTAGATACTCAGACTGGGCCAACTGGTAAGTGGTGTTCCTCCCACAGTCGACATACTGGTACCTCTCCTGAGATATTTGCTCAGAGTGTCCAAAGTATGTTGTTGTTACAGTAACTCTAAAAATGAAATAGATGGAAAGAATTCTCCAAGTTATATATCAAAGTTATCCCAAGAGAGTTATTTGAGGATAATATCAATGAAGTGTGAACTTTTATCTCATAAATTAATGTTCTAAAATCACTTATTGTGAACTATAATTATCAATTATTGAATATTTGGTATTAAGATGAGAACATTATAGACATGGGATTCTTAAGAAGTATTTCTCAAGCAGACTCAAAAATGTTAACCTAGCAAACCCTACCCAATAATTATCTGCTTATACAATATAGAATATATATACTTATAAATAAAAACATATAAATATAATTAAAACAGTTTATCACAAGTTTAAAAAGAATATGGTTCCATCATCATAGGAAAATGGAAAATTAAATGGCAACCAATGGTCAAAATATCAAATAAAAATATTCTATTTACATAACACCCAATTTATCAACACAAGGCATCACTCCCCCTTTTGCTGTAAGTTTACTTATGAGGGCACAAAGAAATAGCTGCTGGCCCATCCTCTCTCTGTTAACCGTGTCATCTGCCTGAGCTCCCACAACAGCTGCGGGTCTTTAGCTGTGCCTCTGAGAAAACATACTCTAGCTAGCTAAGTGAGAAAACATTGACATTTTACACAGTACTCCTGTAAGACTGATGGTCCGTCAGAGATGGCTTTCATAGGGATATCCTACAAGACATTACAAACTCAAGAGCCTTGGCAAGAGCTATCTTTGCAAACATGGCTATACTTACTGCATCTTGAGTACTATGTTGTGTACTTTGATGGAGAGCAGTGTACAGAAATCACTGTTAAAGAAATTAAGATAGAAAGAGCAATGTTATTACATTCTCGACTTAAACCTAATTGAGAAACTGAATACTGATTTTTCTGTCTTGTATTTTTTCCTTGAAATGGAATATGTTGGCCTCAATAATCTTTCCCATCTTAGCCTCTGAAATAAGACTCTCTAAGAATATATAAGCAATGCTGGGGAGATGGCTTAGTGGGTAAAATGCTTGCTGTGTAAGTTTGAGGACTTGAGTTTGGATAGCAAGCACTCAGGCGGAAAGCCAGACATAGCATGATAAACTTGTAAACCCACTACTGGAGGATATTAGGGGCTTGCGTGCCAGCATGCCTCTACATTCTTAGTCTTAGACCCTGTCTTAGAGAATGAGGTAGCGACTGATAGAGGAAAATGCTCAGCTACAACCCCTCTCTCCACAAATGTATGCACATGTGAACCTTCACAAATGCAATCCAAACAAACACACACACAATTAAAAAGTTACCAGAACTACAAGTCCAGAGCAGAGTATTCTCATACAATACAAATTTTAGTACTTTTATATTAAAGCACCATGAATATAAAGTAAAATGATAATGAAAACTGAAAGTTATTTATGTGTATACATGTATGTATACATATACACACAAAATCCTGAAAATAAAAATAAATTTTATGAATATATATGTTATCTATGCTGTAGAGTGAAAAAAATAAAAGCATGTTTAAAGAACACAGCAAACATTCCCCAAACTGGTCTTTTTAATTGATAAGGTTATAAAAATTAAGGAAACAAATCATAACTTACTACATGTAACTCATTTCCTCTGCAATAACTGTGGGTACCGTATAATCAATCTGAAAGCAAAAACAAAAGATAGCAAGAAAAACATATCAACAGAGGCTAGGATCCAAACACCAAACGTGGGAATTATACCTCACAACTTTTCAAGAGTTAGAAATCTTTTCTTTAATGAACCTGGTTTATGCTCTGGACAAATTTCCCAGCCGTGTCTCTGTAGATGCCCCACCTTGTTCCATTTTAAAGGAAAATGGTGACGAACCATGCATCTCACACCATGTCCCCATTGGGCCTTACCTGCTTCATGTCAAGTGGACCAATATTAGTTATGTTGTTTAAGCGCGCCTTCCCAATAACTGTTTTTGAAAACTGAACTTGAGCAGTGATGTTTTCAACTTCAACGGAATAATAGTTATTGTTTGTTATATTTAGTGTGTTCTGCAAAAAAGGAGGCAGGAAATACACATTATCTTTAAATAAACACACAAATGTGAACTCAAAGTTATAAATCGAATGACTTTAATTTGACTATGCCTCATTTATTGGGAAAAGAATATTAGCAAAAATGTCAAAGGACATTCATAGAGAACTATGTGTATAATAAACATTCAATTCAAAATTTTGAAACCAGACCCAGAAAATGTATTCCATAAAAATACGAAAAAGTAAATATTAGAACATATATTTAACAATTTTAGCAAAAGTTGGACTAAACATAATTTTTTTATTGTTTCTTAGCTTAAAATTTTTTTGTTTGTTGCTTCACATTGTTATATATTTACAAAAATATCGAGTTGGTTTTCTCCCCCATTCCTTTCTTTTTTCTTCTTTTTCATATTTTTTTTATTCTTTATTAATTACACTTTATTCACTTTGTATCCCCACTGTGGTTCCCTCCCTCCTCCTGTCCCAATCCCTCCCTTCCTCTACCCTCTGCATGCATGCCCCTCTCCAAGTCCATTGATAGGGGAGGACTTCTTTTCCTTCCTTCTAATCCTAGTCAATTAGGTCTCATCAGGAGTGGCTGCATTGTCTTCTTCTGTGGCCTGGTAATGCTGCTTCCCCCTCAGGGAGAGGTGATCAAAGAGCAGGCCAATCAGTTCATGTCAGAGACAGTCCCTGTTCCTATTACTATGGAACCCACTTAGACACTGAACTGCCATGGGCTACATCTGTGCAGGGGTCTTAAATTTTATTTAAATTTTTATGTATTATACACATGTCTTTACCAACAATAGTACTCTAGTCAGTACTTAATATTTTTTAAAGGAAAACCAATTTCTTTTTCTTTTCTTTTTTCTTTTTTTTTTTTTTCAGGCAGGATCTCATGAAATCCTACAGGCTTTGGACTCACTAGGAAGCTAAAGATGACCTTGAATTTCTCCTCCTACCTCCGGCTCTACAGTGCTCTTATTACAGGCATGCACCACCAAGTCTGGTTTTTTGTGGCAACTGGGACTAAACCAGATCTTTTTGAATGATAGGCAAGAACACTACCAAATGAGTGGCATTATCAGCCTACTTAAAAGAAAGTGGCATTATACCCTACCTGCCGATAGAGATTACAGCAGATTGATACGGAAAGAAAAAAGGTTAGATCCAAATCTGCAGCTCAACCTGGCTTTTACTTTGAAGTTTTTGCTCTAATCTTCCGGTCATAACATTCAGGCACACAATACCACGGCCAGTTTTGGTTTACATGTTTTACATTCACAACTATTCTATCAAATTACTTTAAAAAGTAATGACAGCATCTTTCATGAAGGAAAATGTGGTGTGATCTCAGCTGAAATGTGCATGAGCATATGTGTATTTTTCAGAAATAAGCATATGAGATTGCTTGATTATACACAGAAAGGTCTATATGTAGGCTGATGTCTATACATTGTTAGCAATTACATGTATATATTGAGAGTTAAGTTTTCACAGAAGAGTCAAAACCATTATGTATTACAGGAGTTTCCAAGTGTCTAGAAATAAACATTTAGTATTTCAGTTGCACAGTGCAAGTGTGTGGTACTGTGGTGTTACGATAAACTTTGGTTCCTGGCTGACAACTCCCAGCCCATTTACATTAATTATGTCTTTTTGTCCATCTGCAGTTGGCTATCCTTCAATCATGCTGATGCAGCTAATGCTTCATAAAAGCTGAAAAAGGCCTCAGACAATTTCCATGCAGATAACACTTGTGCTGAGAACATGGCACACCTCAATTCCATGAGGGCAGAAGTCCCTGCCCTCTGCCTTTTAGTCATCTTTTCATCTGTCTGCAGCCCTAGAATATCTTCTTTTAATGAACCAGTAAACGTAAGTGTACTGCTCCCTTGAGTTCTACGGGTTTTTAGGGAAATTAACCAAACATACGGGACAGGTTATGAGACACCCAACTGATAGTCTACCGTAAGTTTTAGGGGTCTGAACCCAAAACTGATACCTGAGGTGGGAAACACGCATAGGCTGTTGGGAATGAACCTCTAACCTGTGAGGTCTGAAGACTACTGATAGTTGGCCAGTGTCAGAAGTGAATGAAATTAGCGGACACGCGGCTCATTTGTTTTGCAGAATTGCCTGCCTGGTGCTGGAGAGATATTCTACAAGTTGGGATGACAGAAGCCATGGGGCAGGAGATACGGCACTTGGCTTGGTTTAGTTTGATCCAGAGAATCCCCATACATTCTTGGTTACTATAAATAAAAGTAATAGTTATTTTGTACATTGCTATGACTAAATACTTGATAAAAAGCAACTGAAGAAGGGCTTATTTCTGCTTATAGCTTGAAAAACTACAGTCCTTCAGGGAGGAGGCTACATGACGGCAGATGCCCGAGGAAGCCGGTCTCACGCACATCCTCACTTAGACTAATAAATAGACTAATAAATGCTGCTGCTTAGCTTGCCTTCTCCTATTCTCTCCAGCACCTCATCCTATAAAACAGGACTGCCCACAGGTAAGGCGGGTCATTCCACCCCAACCTAATACAGACAGTCCTCACATGATACCCACAAGCTTGTCTCCTAGATGCTTCTAGATCTGTTAAGTTGACACTCAACATTAACACACACAAAGTACTAATGCTCACCACATATTTCCACATATTTAAAGGGGCAGGAAGAATGCAACTCTGGTACCTTCAGCTTTTGACCTATGACCCCTCCAGCCTTTTACTTCAATGTCTTCTAGTGAGGCCTACTGTTCAACTCAACAGAAATCATTTATGACCTAAAGTTCAATATTCCTTAATTTGATTATTAGAAAGTATATAAGACAGTGAGAATTCTTGCTTATTATTAAAAGTTCAGCAAGACATTCTCATTTAAGTACACTTGTATCTAAAAGGAAATGACATACTCATGAGAACTCTTCCAAGCAGACCACAGCATACCCTGAGCTTAACGCATGAACAACTATAATGGCAAAAGTGATTACATACTTCCCCTTTCCAATGCAGTGGTTAGAAAACCTTGCTCTTCTTAGCCAAATGTAATGTGTAAATGTAGGTAAAAGATCTGTGAAGTTTTTAAAGTTTTAAGACTGTATAATCCCTTTTCAAAATTACATTTGTGATAAACCCAGAGTCCATTTTCACATGTTCTAACTTAAAACAATCAGGTCACCACTTCATTTTTAAACAGAATTAAGGAAAGTCTGTTAAAGCTGACAGAAATTTTCTTTCATAAAAGGTTGGAAAGCAAAAACATTGTATTTATAACATCCATTGAATCAACTGTTAATACCTTTCAAACGTTGAAAAGTAAACTGACTATACTTTTTTCTTTTGCCAGAAGTTGTTTACTTGATCTACCTACAAAATCATCTTCATATGTTAAATGATTTTCAATATACTCAACTGCCTTAAGATGCTACTTACCCTTTTTGGCAGAACCAGACATGTAGTAGGTTCGACACAGCAGAGTCACGAAAAATGCAGAAGCAAGGGTCGTTGGCAAACATTCTCTGAACAGAGTAAATGGGTGGCTGAGCAAAACAAAGATGGGGTCAAGGACTTCTGCACAAGCGTGCACTTACCGTGATATTTAAATAGATGGTTCGCTTTTGAAGATCATAACTGACATAGGCTGATTTTACGCCAATATACTTCACATCAATAGATCGAGGGAAAAGGAAAAACACAGCCAACCCAGACAGGAGCAGGCAGACAGACACAGATGCCATCACATACAGCTTTCTGTAAAGGAAAACAGTAATTACCTGTGTCATCCAAAATTTATACATAGAGCAACATGTCAGGGAATTTCTTTTCATTTGATTTTTTTCTTTTTCTCTTTTTTTTTTTGGCTACATATCACACCAGCAAGAAAACACAACTAATTTTACCAAATTTTCATTCAAAAACTATTAGGTAAGGTTGGAAATATTAAGGGTTAAGATAATCTCTTTGGAAGATGAATTGGCAGTTTTGGAAAACGAGATTTCAGACTTATAATGACTTAGTGAACTGATTTTTTTCAATCCAATTTTCACATTAGAACCAAGTTTAGGACCCTTATAGAATTCAGGCCTCCATCTGCATTCCTGAAGCAGGGTTTACACTGTATAGTCTCACTTCCTGTCATGATAAAACCTGGAAGCTCGCCACCTGACATAAATGCATGGCTTCCTGCCCTCACTACTGCAGGTCCTTTTCAGTCTCCCTCCCAAAGTACTCATGTATTCAGTTCTAATAATATTGTTTACATTTATCAACTTAGTGTGGAAGATGTTACTGTGTTGTGAAAAGAGGTAATGTTACTATATATAAGAGAAAAAGATAAAGAACCTGCATGTCTTTGCTATCCATTTAATGACTCTGAAATGTATATTTTCTTCTATGTTATACTCAAAACTATGGTTTCAGATTTCTTGGTCACTTCAATATATATCAATCTACCAAGAGCCAACTTCATTCTAAGTCCTGCATTCCTTCCCCTTCCTTGTAACCCATCATTTTATCTGGTCTCTGATCCCCCAAACTTCCTATGCCTCAATTAATTCAACTGCATACATCTTATAACATTTGCTTAAAAAGTTCCTAATGATTTTCTAGGTATTTTAGCTCCCTAAAGAAAGATGATTGATTAAAAAGAAATAATGCAAACAAACAAAATGTCTCTAAATTGCTACCACTAAGTCCACTGATGTTCTATGGAGCAAACCAGCCAATTCCCACTCATTCACTGTGGAATTTCTTCAATCTTGGTAGTAATGGTCCCCAAGTCACAATAAGCAGGAAAGCTTATATTTGCCATGCCCACAAGATATCCACAGGCCCTAAACACCACTGGTACAAACGCAATATAAAAAACATTATGATCAAACATCTTAACTTTGCTTGGTCTCCTACTCTTCATTAGATTGTTTTAATTACTCTCTAGGTACACACACATTTGCTTGCTTTGCGTTACTTGAGACAGGGTCTTAAATATCCTAGAGAGACTCATACTTAATACACAGCTGAGGATGGGCTTCTGCTTCTGATCTTCCTGCTTCCGCCTCCTGGTGCTGCGATTACAGGTGTGTACCATCATGCCTGCCTAGTTTTACTATATTTGACAACTATCTTATTTGGTATAAATGTCTCCAATTTGCTGAATCCTTCCGTGTCCTGATAGAAAATACAAAGTGCTCATTCATTAGTGAGGCATGAGAATGCTTGCTCTCACTCAGTACTGCCAATAAAGCATGTTGACAAAATGCTGGGCTTTTGCCACTCTGATAGCACTGCTATTTCTTTAAGGAACAAGGTGAGAGTGTACTTCCCTACATTTAAAGGTCGTTTAGATTTCATTTTTGTGAGGTAATCTCCACAGCTTCGGTTCTTACCTCCCTTCGGGTATCTTTTCAGACTTTGATACTCTGCACAAAGGGGATCAGTCCTCTCCATGATAAGATTTGCAGACATTACAATTACAAAGCATTACATTCTTGTTTTATCATTTGTATTTTCACTTCTATATTGAGTCAAATGTGTTTTTCATCACTAGGATTCTAAATCACAGCTGTTGAAAAGGTTTTCTACTCTGACATTTTAAGTCTTGCCCAACTCTTCACCTTTTCACCTCTACACATTTTAAAATAAAAGGCCACATTAAGTTCACACAGTGCTTAGCTGACTTTAATTCCATGATGGCTAAATATTTAATTCATCAGCTTATTTGAAGTTTCATAGCCAAGAAGAAGTTAGCCAATTTGATCTTCTACTCCTTATTCACTAACAGAGCCTTTTGCTTACTGTTCAAAGGGCTTTTCTTCAAGCCTCCACAGCCCAGGGTTTTCACTAGCATGTCTCAGGGTAAGGGTGTCTCTTTCTGGTACACCGAACAAGACCTCCTGTTACTCTAGTCATGTGTCCTTTAAGTGAAGAGTTAGTACACAACCCCAGAGCTCTCATTTGCTTCTACAGAGGTTGCAATTATATACACATTCAGCATTTAAAAAATTTTTTTTTTATTTTCTGTCATTTTACTCACGTATGTATGTACTCATGTAACTATGTATCTATGGTTGTTTGAATAAAATATGTTAATATATATGAATACTTAGTTGTCTGGGCATAATATTACTTGAGAAGGATTAGCAGGTGTGGCCTTGTTGGAGAAGTATGTCACTGGGGGTGGGCTTTGAGGTTTCAAAAAGCCCAAGCCAGGCCCAGTGTATCTCTCCTGTAGTCTGTGGATACAGATGTATGCTTCTCCAGCACCATGCTTGCCTGTGCATTGCCATGCTCCCTACCATGACGATAATGGACTAAACCTCGGACATAGTAAGCCAGCAACAATTAAATGTTTTTGTTCATAAAAGTTGCCATGGCCATGATATCTCTTCCCAGCAACACCACACTTACTAAGACAGTCTATGCTTACATGCTTCCTCTTTATCCCATTTCTCATATTTTCCAGGGTATCTTGCTTGTACTGTGCACTTCCACTTTTATTTTTAAAAAGTATTTTTCTAGATATTTTAAGGGGTCTCTGAACTCTTTTTCATATCTTCCCATCAGTTATCTCTTTTCTGAACTTTCCAATATCTGATACAAGCTACCGTTGTACCTTTTGTAGTTTAAATGTTACATATATTTAAGTACCCATTTGCTTTTTTATTTCGTTTTTTTTTTAGTATTTTATTGCATTCATGTTCAACTTTCCTGTATATTCATGATGCTCATGTTTAATTAAGAGGTCTTTGTATCTTCAAAAAAGGATTCTACCTTGAGTAATGGGATGGTCCAGGTTGGATTGGCCCACAGGGGTACTCAGCCCCTTCTGACCTTCTCAAGGCCACAGTGGGTTTTCTACAATCTGTTCCTCTCACTCTAACAAGCCATTCCCAAAAAATATCTGCTAAGAGTGTTGAGATTAGGCTTCTTCTTTGGGGCTGGAGTATCTGCTTTCTACATCTGGACTATTAGGATCATTATTTGCTTCTCTTCAAAAGTCCATACATCTGCTAAGCATGCTCAGGTCTCTGTGGTCATTGTGCTTTGAACAGTCATTATTATTCAGCAGACAGTGAGAACACATGTGCCTGATGAAAATGTCTTGTGTAGGACATGTGTGTGCTAATGCCACTATTTCACAACTCTTTTAATAAACAGATTTCTGAAGATATAGGTACCATGTTTTCAAATTCTCATCCCAATCAGTTATCTATTTTTGTTGTTGTTTAAACACACAAGGCATATGATAGCATAACTTAACTACTAGAGACACTTTTCTTCTTCAATGTCTTAACTTCAGTAATCACTCATTCAAAGTTTGAAAGTAAAAATGAACAAACAACAATAAAAGAAAAAAACGTATAATCACTTACGTTCTTCTTGGCCGTAACCGCTGATCACTGTAAGGAATCAATGCCACCAGTTGGTTTTCTTGCCCTAAAAGTGAAAGGTGTAGGTTTAAACTGTTATTAACGTGAATAATTAAAAACAAGGTGGTGCTCTATCAAAAACTGGCTTTAGAAGACCAGAAAACTTCTCTCCTTAGTATTTTTTTTTTTTTGAAGACATCTATTTTTTTATACCGTACTCTGCCTACATATATGCTACACACCAGAAGAGGGCACCAGATCTCATTATAGATGGTTATGAGCCACCATATGGTTGCTGGGAATTCAGGAAGTGCAGACAGTGCTTTTAACTGCTGAGCCATCTCTCCAGCCCTCTCCTTAGTCCTTTAGTAACTGTTTTTATTTTTCAAAATTATATTATGGTTCTTTATATTATCCAAAAATAGTGTAAATAATGAGGGCTCTACTAGCCTTTGATCCAATAGTTATAAAAACAAAAAAAACCTGAAAATTCCTGGCTTTCAGGGGATCGTATTGCAGCTTCTCTCAGCTCCACTGTTTTCCATTCAAACTAATTTGACTGAGGATAGAAGAACACATTTCTGCTGCCCATTCCTGGAGCCTCAGCAGCTAAATCAAAACTGCTATTCTAAATCTCAAGCTTTCAAACGCTCTCTGTTCCCATCTGTAATTCAAGTGACCCGTAAAGGCAATTACACAATATTGCCTTACTTCACACTCTCTAGAACCACAATTTCAAAACCCAATTCTCGGAATTGCCTCCTTTATCATAATTCTTGGTTGATAATGTGACACGTGGAAGGAGTGTCCCTAGCAGTACCTTGATAAGATTTTTCAAATGTCCTAACTTACAGGACAGAAAGAGGCTTGGAAGAAAGAGATAAGTTCGTTTAACTCATAGCATCAAACAAAGAAAAGCAGCAAGTGCTTCACATTCCTTTCCAGTACGCTGAGGAGAAAGTGACCAGGGCCACACTCACTGCATTCTGCTCTTGGAACCAGGAATCAACCAAGTAACAAAACCTCTTTAGTCACCAGCCTGCTTTCTGTGGCCTTCTCTGTTATCTTGCCATCTTTTCAAGACCTAAAATAAGTTCATGGAAAGAATTCATAATCTTTCTCCCAGTTTCACTGTGGAATATCTTGGTCCCTTAGGTCCAGTGGAGACTTTCCTGAGTGCTATCCACTGCTGATGACTTAGAGAACTTGTCTTCGGACCAGTGCTTTTACCTGTCACTGCAAAATAAGCCCTCTATTTCACAGAGCCTTCTGACTCAAGTTTCTGATTTAACAGTACTGCCCACCTACCTGCTCTACGTTCCTATTTGAGAAGCGCTCTGTACCCTCTGCAGGGGTGCCCTTGGCACTTATGCACTAGCTACCATCTCTCTGCTCCCACCCATGGACACTGCTCCAGTAACTGTCCCATCTCCTGTGTTCCCCATGTGTTCTCTATGGACCACTTTCTCAGCATGCACACATCTGCTTCTTACTCCATTCCAAAGAGACCACTTCTCTTCCTTCCTGTCCTAGAGCAAAACTCACAAAATCTTTTTCCTCTCTGTAAGATGCCACATTATCCATCCCCACAACTTTCAGCATCTATCAATTCAAGAAAAAAATTGGCTTCACTCTGACAGTGTGTGCACATGCTGGTGCAACTATTCAAAGTTTAAATAGTAGTACTCTTATAAAGATCCCAATGGCCTTCACATTACCAAACTAATGGGTAGCCCACATAGCCTAACCTGTCATCAGCATTAACAGTGGCTCTCTCTTCCCTTCTGAGTGCATTTCCTCTGTGTACCTTCTGGGACATCACAGATAGAGATTTCCTCCTCCCTGTCTAGCTGCTCTCTCCTGTGCTACTGTTCCGCAAATGTTGCATTGTCCCAGAGTTCATGCTACAGTCTCTTTCTTTTATTCTATCCAAATTGCTAAGCAGACGGTTTCCCTATCAAGTTCCACTTGAAGTGTCATTCTAAATCAAAGACACTGGCTAAGAGAAGCTCTGAAATTCAGACCCTTACAACTGACTGCGTAGTAAAACCTCATTTTGACGTCAAACATTCTCAAACATACATCTGAAATTGAGTTCCTTATCTCACTTCTGACTTACACACTCACAATTTTTTATGCCTGTTTTAATAGTTACTTCATTCTTTAAATTGTTGGAAAGGAAAAAGTATTCCACAATCCACACCCAGGCTACCAAAAAGCCTACTGGTCACACCTTAGAGACATGGCTAGATGGACAGAAACAGTTTTTCCCTACCACACTGGTGCATTACTTTCTTCAACTACAGTACTTCTTCTATTCTTAAGCGGCTACTATCCCCAGCAAGACAAAACCACCATTCAGTAGCCTATGCATTCAACCCCATTTAACGCAAGACACTTTTCAGAGACTCTGGAATTTCTCATACAATCACTTTGTCCTCTAGGTCTCACAAGGGTCACCCACTGACTTTTACCAAGTAGAAAAGGAGAACAGTACGACAAAATTTTATTATTTTTCCTTCCTATGAGCACCCTATAAATAGCACTGGAAGGACGATTTTTTTTTTTTTTTCTGTCTTCTCCATGGCAAATCACAAGCTCATTTTTTCCTACTTGGCTCTTCTTCATAAACCATGGATTTCCTTTCAAAAAAAGCTAATGGGGCATAAACAACTTACTGTTTAGATAATGAATTACTGAACCATGTACCTACAAGTATGGCAATATGACTGTGCTGTGGCTCCCAATGATGTCACAAAGGACTCATCCTCAGTGGAAACCACAGTGAATACTAGCTGCAAGAGCGGAAAAGCAAGGAAAAACAAAAACAAAAACAAAAACGCTAGATGTGCTGAAGTCATTTCTATTACTGCTTTAGGAACATTACTGTTTGCTTTTGTGTCTGAGTAAGCAAAATTAGTAAGTTTTAACTTTGAATCTTTGAAAATAGGATTGCACAAGGCCATAGTTTTCACATTGTTTGAGCAAATGTTTGGATTCCCTCCTAAGAGAACAGCGGTGCAGTGCACATACCCCTGGGAATTCTTCCTGTTCCTTGGCAAGTGGGACAGGTGACACTGTCTCTTCCCGTAAACTCCACGTACGGAAACTGGGAGACGTCTCCGTTTCTTCCGTCTTCATTATGCACTTCATTGCTAACCAGTCCGTTCCTCATACTGTCTGTCGATGTGACCCCATCATAACCATCTTCTTTGTTTGAATGCAAAGGTAAATGAGAAAGAGACTTTCCCATGTCTAATGAAAAAAAAAAATCTGACAGTAAATTCCATGGGAACAAAATCCTCTCAGACTCTATGGGACAGTAAGAGGGTTAGACAAGTGCAAAGGACTTCTAGGATTAAAATTATATTCAATCAAAATAATGTCTGACATGAGGGAGCCATTGTCTAGGACTCAGAGCACTTTTCTAACAAAATGTTATGGAATGAAATCCTGTCAGACTGGTAATAAGAACAAGGTTCAAAATGGTAAGTAACATTAGGCAAAAGTCGACAGTGTAGACTCTAGGCCTTCTCAGGGTTCTCAGAAAAGAAATATTCTCTTAGGGTTTTTTTGTTTTGTTTTTAGAGAAAAACATAATTTAATTCTAAAGCAGTCGGCACTAAAGGTGAAACTGATCGTTGGCTTATTACAATAATGTCTATCACCAGCTAATTTCAAAGTGACACATTTCACTCATTTAAAATTGATGCTCCTTTGAGTTTCACCCTTAGAATTCTTACTTCAAACATTTGCAACAAGTATTTACAGCAAGGAAAAAAAAGCCTCTGTGAAACAAGTTTTTGTTAGTTTGCTTTCTTAAGCTATGAACATTTTTTTTTTTCTGTATCAGTTTGGCACTTAAAATTAGGATACAAATATTCGAAAACAGTAAAAAACAAAACAAAATAAAACAAAAAAACGTTACCATACAAAGTAGCACAATTTAGTACATTAAAATTATTAAAATTTAGTCAAATTTTCTGAGCAAGAGTTTAAATAACAGAATCTTAAAGACCAAGTAAGCATGCTTAGTGCTAGGAGTTATACAGAAATAAACCCTCCAGGTATATCATACAGTAAGTAATACTGCCAATAAAACCCTGCAACTTCATCATTGAAAAGAACATGAAAAGTCACTTGATACAACATGCTGATATTCTGGGAAAAAAATTAATAGACAAACAAAAATTTTTAAATGGTACAATTCCATTCTTCCCATGGTTAATCATATATCATTTATCAGCTTCTAAATATAAATTAGGAGATCACATATACCTTTAAATTATTTTATTTAATAAATAAAACTAATAAGAAGTAATTCATATCACCCAATATAAAGAAAATTCTGCTTTTCAAAATTTGAACACTATTTGTTTTATTCACACACAGTTTACACAGCAGTCTTAAAAAAAAAAAAAAAACAACTTGAGTGGTATAAAGTAAAAGGGTAAAAAAAAATGAATAAAAAATACTTTTTAAAAGTTTTATGTGCGCAGTGCCTACCTGAGCTCAAAAACATTAATGATTGGGACTTCCAAACATGCAGTATCTTGATTTGGCTCAACGATAGCAAATCAGAGCCAAACCTCACTTGCCTGCCACAGGTGCCCAGGGTGAATTTTAATCATCACTGTTCCCTCACACTGTGACCTTTGAAGCTATGCAGAACACTGGCTGCTCTGCAATCAGCTGTCCTGGTGTGTATTCCCTTTTGGTTGACACATGGTGTCAACCCAGGGGTGAGAACTGTGCCCCACCGACGGCAAAAGGCTATGGGGACAGAGCTAAGGGGCCCTGATCTCGGCAGGCTGTCTTACTCTGATCCACAGCAACCTTAACATACCCTGGTGAAGGCAGGTTTGGGAGCGCCCCAGATAACCCCAGGTTTCTTGCCCAGCTCTTCTTGAGGCTGCTGACAGGCCTAACCACTGTCACTTTGGAGACTTACTTGAGGTTTTTAAGAGGGGTGCTAGGTCCCCTTCGTCTCCTCCCTGGGCTCAATGTTTATGTGGCGGTCCTGTGAACTCAACACGGTTCTCAGACGGCCTGGAAACAGGGAAAAAGACAAATACAGCACAGCATCCAACCGAGATGTGTCACATCTGGTTTGTTTTCTTTTTCCCTGTGCAGATGCGGGGTTAGTTCCGAAGGGCTCCGGAGGGACGGAAGCCAGCGCCTCCCAAAGGGCGCCACAAGCAACACCCCCAACCCCCGAAAGAAATGAACATCGGAGCCACCTTGCAACTAGAACCGGACAACCCCGGGGCCACTCGGCGGCTCAGATCAAGGGCCCTGGCGCCGCCCGAGCCGAAGCAGGCGGGAGGCCCGAGGTGACAGCCGCGCACCCGGCCCGCCGCGGCCTCCCTCTCCGCTCGGGAAGGGATCGTGGGCCCCACGGCCCGGGTCGCTCACCGGGAGCGCGGCGCGGTCTCGGGATGCTCCGGCGCGGGCCGGCCGCAGCGTGGGGTCACGGCGTCCCCGGTCCCGGGGCGGAGCGCCGGCCTGCGAGCAGCCGAGCGCGACGGGGGAGGGGCAGGACACAACCGCAGCCGCTGAGCCGGGCGCCGCGGAAGCCTGCGCGTGCGCCTGCGCGCCCGGTCCCCAGCCCCCCGGAAGGCGGAGCCGGACCCCCGCGAGCGGCACTGCGCGTGCGCCCTTCCCCGGGCCTGGCCGCCGGAAACGAGGCGCTCCTGGGCGTGCGCTCACCTGGTCTGGGCCGCTGTCCGCTCTCTGGACGGCGAAGTTTGGAGACAGTGCAAGTTGCGCTGGTGCGCGAATAATTGTTTTGTTTTTGTTTCCTCCCCATCAGGCTGGTTCCTTTTGTGAAGGGGAGAAATGTGCACCATCGCAGTTTTCAACGTCCGGGTAGCCAAAGCGAGACTGGCAGCCACTAAACGTCCTCCCTGGGGTTAGGAGAGGGGTTGGTGCCTGTCGCTGGCACAGAGTTGCACACTCACTATGGCATTTTCGTTTAGAGATTCCTGACACTGGGGAAACGCCCCCTCTTCCCCGTCCCAGGCCTTGATTTAATCTCGCTTTGATTCTGTACTTAAGTTTACGTTATTCTTCTGTATATGCAGTGAAGTGTTGTCTCAGGACCGGGTAAGATGTTAAAGGAGTGTCGTGAGAACACCCACCCCCAGGGCCAAGTCTAAACCCAAAGTGAATTGAGCGTACTGTAGATATGAACTGTTTGGGTGGCTCTCCAAAGTTGTCTTCAAAGGTTGTGAGGATTTTTTTTTTCTTTTTGATAATCGAGATAGGCTAGGTGGTGGAATTATAATCTGATAAATTGAAACCAGGAGCAGCTGGGGGTTGCTCCAAGGGTTTAGTAATTTGTCTGTAAATGGAGTTTTTGGTGAGATTCCTAGAAAATTAATACATTTATGGCTGGTAAGGGGATAGGGCCTTAAGCATTGGCTAATTGTGCAGAAAATCTTGCTTCTCGGCTGGATAAAAAAGTAGCAACCCCGGACTGGGTGAAGAGCTCCCAGATTTGCTCCCGACACTGCCTTGCTACCACTTGTTATCAAGTTATCACATTGGGGCCTGGTATTTGGGATAGCCTGAGTCTTGTTTTTCAGGCCATGGTGACTCACATTTGGCTTCAGAGTAAACTCTCAGTCCTTTTAAGGTGAGAGCTGTGTGTTTTCCGTTTACATAAGCAGCATGTTTCAAGAATATTTTAAATGTTCACCTCCTTAGGTCTAGAAATTCCACTCTGGGGAATTCATCCAAAATTTTAGTGAGAATTCTAAAATAAAAATTGTATACAGTGTGTAACCAGGAAGACTCTGTTAAGGTTTCTATTGCTGTGAAAAGACAGCATGCCCATTGCAACTCTTATAAAGGAATATATTTAATTGGGGCTGGTTTACAAGTTCAGAGGTTTAAACTCTTATGCTCATGGCAGGAAACATGGCAATGTGGAGAAAGACATGGTGCTGGGAAGGAGCTGAGAATTCTACATCCGGAAAGCAGCAGGAAGTGAACTGGATTCACCCTCTAGACATGCATCTCCTCCAACAAAGGCTTAACTACTCGAAGTCTGCACCTCCTGTTAGTGCCACTCCCTATTGACGAAGAATCCAAACAGAAGTCTGTGAGGGTATCCCTATTCAGACCACCACAAAAACGAAATACATGAACATCACATAAACTCAAAACCATAGGAACAGTGATTAAATCGTACCAGCAGTGCACTTGACAAACATTGATTGCTTCTGAGACGTGGGTTTACTTTGTTGCATTGGCTCCCCTAAAACTTGTGAACCCGGTCGACCTAGAACTTGGAGATGAGTCTTCCTTTCCTACCTCTGCTTTCAGAGTGTGAGATTAAAGGTGTTCACCACCACACCTGCCCAACATATCGTTATGACAGCAGTTACGTAGTCATATATTAACAGGCTGATGGGCACTGAGGACAGATCTCAAAATTCATAGCTTGAGGTCTTATGCACACAGCCTATTGGGTGTTTTGCTCTTGTTATTTTTAGTTTTAAAATGAATATTGTTCCTATGTCTGCAACTTCACAGTGAATATTAATTGTGCTGGAATCCATAACTCTCAGCTGGTGAGAGATTACAACTAAACTATAGCATAAGTGTAGGCATAAGGTTATTGTGTAATTCAAATGCTGATTTTTGTACCACCATATCTGGTTGTAGTCCTTGTTGTGAAAATCTCTTGTATCAATTTTATATAAACACCTCCCCAATTGTCCCCATCCCCCAGTATGCCAGTAAAGCAGTTTACAGCTAATCATTGATCAGGGGAGAGAATACAGCTTCCAGCCAGGGGAGGAATGAGAGGAGGAATTAGAGGATTCGGCAATTGGAGAGTGTCGGGAGCCGCTCCCGCCATTACAAGATGGCGCCGGCTTCCTGCTTCCTGGTTCTTCTTGCCAGCATTTTCGCGCTTCTTGCCTGCGCCGCCCTGCAGTTTACGCATGCGCAGCTTTATGCTAATGAGGGTTTAGGCTGCACTCCAATTGCCAGCCATATGCTTATGAAGACTTGAACAGAGCACCAATTACAGACGGACAGGTCGCGCTGCTGGCTATTTAAGCAGAGCACAACCCGGGGTCTGGGTCCTTCACCATCTGCAAGAAAGAGCTGTTCAATAAACTTGCCGCTGAAGAAATCCTCGGTTGTCGCGTCGTCCTTATCGGCAAAGGCCGCGCGCGACAGGAGAGGTCAAAGTGAAATCAGGAGATGAGCTGGAGCAAGAAAGCTACAAAGGGCAAGTATCTCTGCGATGTACACTGGGAGGAAGCCAACTTAGCTTATAGGTTTAAGAATACAGTAATAACTGCTCAGTTCTTGTGCTGTGAAGTTTATTATTGAATATATAAAAGAATCTCTACTATTTGTGTGATAGTGTAATGCCAGGTTCACGGGACCCTCAGAGACCACCAGGAGACAACTCAGTGCAATTGCAAGAGAGCTTTATCACGAGATCAATTGAACTCTGGACCCAAGTCTCACTGACACAGCAGTAAAGAAGTGGGACCTCGAGCTCTGAGTGAACAGGATTTTTAAAGGGAAAGTCTGTGAGCAGGGGGTTTCCATGGCAGCAAGCAGGGAGGCACAAGCCTTGGCATTACAGAATTGGGGTGACCTTTTCTGAGGCACACAATCACAATGGCTATTTTTCTAAACCATATCTAAAACATTGGGGAAAATTTTCCCACCCGATTTCTAACCGATTCCCATTGATTATTGCCAGGGAGTTTGGGTCTATTTTCTATGAAGCATTTATTCTGTGATATTTCCTGGAGGCAGTTGCTAGGAAAGTTAACTTTGTTTTCTGCCAGGTGCACATTTTGTGTTATTTCCTGGTACCCGAATTTAGCTCCAGTCAAGATGGCTCTTTATTTCAAAATGGAGTTATACTCAAGCTAACTATACCAGGCTAACTTAAACTCTTCAATAGTTGGGTTAAGAGAGAAACTGAGAAATAGTTTTGTAAAAAAAACTGTAACATATAAGGGTCTTTTATTTCCAATGTCCCCATTAATTTCACCTTTCTATGTTATTTCTTTATATTGTCTCAGTAACATCCCCCACACCTTAAGAGTTAATCAAAACAGACCTATCAAACACATAGACAGGAAAATACCCTTCAAGATGCTGGTGCAGCAAGTTTAAGCAAACAAAGCCTTCCTGAACATGTAGATCATCACAATGGTCTCAGTTGTCACCCTAATCCCTGAGACAGCCTTTTTCCATGATGGCCTTTTTGTCCTCTGTCCATGTGGAGTTCCTCACACTCTTCAGCAATAACTGTCTGTCTTCTACACTGTGTTCTGTGGGTGTCATCTAAATTCTTTTCACAGAGATTGGAAAGACCCAGACCGAAGAGGAAGCTGGAATGAGGCCATGGTAACAATTTCCAACCTCTTATATAGTTCTGTACTTTTTGAAAGGGGTAGAAATGCTTACCACATGCCTTTTTAAATGCTTTAAAATAAATATTTTTGTATACAATGTTGAATTAGCACTGATTTCTATAATTTGACCTTTTATTTTTCAGTGCAAAATAAGTTATTTAACAGAATTTCTAAGGCTGAATTTGCCCTACATTCACTGGTAGCAAATTCTCTATTAATATTATCATTTTGGCACAGTCTTTATCCACATTATAAGAATTCCAACAGTGAATCTGTAGAAGACAATTCCTGTGAATTTAGTGGTATTGTCTTAGGCAGCTTGCCTGAGGATGAACTATGTACACAGCCTAGAAGATAAAGGAAGTACCATTCTTTATCCGTATGCTTATTATTTTTAGAATTGAGATAACAATAATGCTTGTTTTAAAAGGTTGTGACTATAATCAGCTATTAGATGTTTTTTGGACAGTTTTTGTCTATAAACAGTGAGGTATTTTAAAAATATGCCGAATGCTGGGCACATTTTCTCCAACTCTTTTTTTTTTTTTTTCAATTATTAAAAACACACTTTAAAAGGAAAGTGTTTGAAAATTGACAGAGCTATCCTGAACTCTGAGATCGGCATCAGTCTCCATACTGTTATTATTAGAGGCAACGTTTTTTAGTAGTGTGAGATAACTGAACAAAAGTTGTGATCTGGTTAGATTTTTCGCAGGTTAATTAAGACATTTCTTCCTGAAGTTAAATCTTCAAAACAGGCTTGTTCCGTTCATGTCTCTCATAATCTCCTTGACTAGGAACCATCCACATATTAATAGCTGGCAGCCAAATTGCAAATTCCACTTCCTTGGAGATTTGTTACTAGAACTTAGAAGCAGACAAATAATTCATAAATAATTTACTCTCTTAATTGTTCTGAAGTGTGTGGTTTATTGTTAGGATGCAAGTTTGTCACAGCCTCCATCTTTAAATTCCAAGCTGGTTGGCTAACATTAGAAAACTGAGTTTACCAATGACTGGCTCTTTGACCTCCCCACCCCCCCAAGGGAGGAGCAGTCCTGTTAGGCCACAGAGGAGAGCTTTGCAGCCAGTCCTGAAGA